ACATGGAAGGATCACTAAATATAGGTAGAATGTATGAACATATGTATCGTTATATCTTTAATCATGAGTTCAATATAGAATTTCAAAAACCGAAGAAAGATTTATGTGACACATGCTATGAGTATCGCAACATTGTTAATGCAAGCAATGAACAAACAGATAGTTATAATAAGCACATCAAATCAAGGAATGATACCAAAACTGAACGTGAAAATGATCTCCAAAATGTTGATTCTAAAATTGCAATTGTTTGTATTGACCTTGAAAATGTTTTAAATTTGCCTAGAGCTAATGTGGGAAACTTTTATTACAAACGAAAACTTTCAAATTATAACTTAACTGGTCATTGCTCGCTTAACAGGAAGGGTTATTGCATCCTTTGGCACGAAGCCATGACTGGTCATGGAGGAAATGATCTAGCCAGTGCTGTAACATGTTTGCTTTTGAAAATCATGGCTGACCTTGACATAAATAAGTTCATACTTTGGTTCGATTCATGTGTACCACAAAACCGCAATAGTTTCATGTCAGCAGCTTTGTGTGAATTTATAATACGATACCCACAAATAAAAGTAATTGAACAGAAGTTCTGCAAGCCAGGTCATTCCAGCATTCAAGAATGTGACAACATTCATAGTCAGATTGAAAAATCCCTCTCTGCTGCAGAAATATTTAGTCCACTTGGGCTAGAAAGAGCTATTAAAAATGTAAACCGTAAAAAACCTTTCTGTGTTTACCAAATGCAATTAGGAGATGTAAAGAATTTTTCAGTTGTCGCTGGTTTGTCAAGTTATAAGTTAGTGCCTTATTCAAAGGTTAAAAATCTTGTTTATCGAAACGGACTGCCATACCATGTTTTTTTTAAAACCTCGTTTTCAGATAATTATTCACAAGCTCGTATAAATAAGTCTGTCAAGAAAGCAGCATCAACCATTGTTGCAAAACCATTAAATACCAATATACCAATGGCAGCTTGCTTTCGTGCTTCTTATCAGTCTATATCTGTTGCAAAAGCCAATGATATCATTTCCATGTATTCATACATGCCTGCTGTTGATATTGCATTTTATAAAACAATAATAAATTGAACATTTACAAAACATTAATAAAGTCAAGATATTTTTAGGGTTGTTATATGTTTAGTATAAATATAAATAACAAATTTATATATATATAATAATATAAATAATATACATATAAATAACATATTTAAATAAAATATTTATTTAGTATAAATATAAATATAAAACACATTGAAATAATATTATTTTGAAATCTTGATAAAAAATATTGTTTAGCTTGTGTTTTTTTTGTTTGTTTTTTTGTACTTTTATATTCATTTTCCCCCACTTGTTTGGTTTGGATGGTTTTCCATAGTGACATAAAGGCCACTACGAAAGAGTTAAAGCAATGTTTCACAACCTGATGCCCTTCCTGACGTTAACTTGAGTAACAATTTTTTATTTGTAAATATTTGCAATAACTTTTAATAAAAAGTTAAACTCTATTAATGGATACACAGGCATAAGAAAAATAAAATCAAGTTCATCTTGCATGGAGTTTGTGATTAGATTAGTTGAATTGTTGTGAATTATCAGATAGTTACATAATGTTATTTCTTTTATTATTACATTTTTTTTTAACATAACTCTTTCCTATATACCTTTCATAATTTATTTTATACGTTTATATTATATTAATACGTTTATATTATTATTACGCAGCCAAATTTTCCGTTTTAAATTAGACGTCTTAGTTTTGTCCAGGGCCGGCGCCTACAGGTAATTAAAGTAAATGTAAGTCGTAAGAACAGTGTCGTTAGAGGCTCTTCTAAAAGTTCTCCTAATTAGGGCCTCATTTTATTTAAAAAAACTTAATTTTTTAGGTAATACAAAAAGCGTCTTATATTTTGAAAAGGGTCCCGTTAAATTAGGGGCCCATGCCACTAATTTAGGGGCCCATGCCCATAAATTAGGAGTGTAAAATTTAATAATCAATTATTATTAAAAGTGAAAAGTAAATCTTTATCAACAAAGTTATTAAAACCTAATACATTAATCAAAAATAATCCGTTATAATGAAAATACCTTTTATCTAACTGCAATGTTTTATTTGATATTACTAGCAGTAGCGTAGCGAAGATTACTAGTCCATATTTATAAAAGTGTATTAAGATCGTAAAGGCACTGGTAATTGAGCTATAGATAAAAAAACTAAATTATTATATTTTTAATTTATTATTTTAAACTTGTATTTGTGTATTGGTTGTTATGGCCCATGTTTTAAAATGCACAATTAATATTTTTTTGTTGCATGGATAGTATTTTGTGCCATTGTTTGACAATGGTGTACTTCAACCAGATTATCGTATTTATCGAAACAGAATTCGCAAAATATTTGTCAAGAATGGACATCTTTTAACTTATATGACAATAGACTGTGCACAATTTCAAAACGTTCAACACAATTTTAAGAGTATTATGGTATTTGATGCATAATGGTATTTCAGCACATGGAAGTTGAATTTTTTCAGCAATATTTACATATCTACATATTTAATACCAGATAGTGAAAACTAGTGTGTTTCATTAAGCTTTTGAATTTTTTTCAGAATACGCACAACAAGATTTTTGACTTAAGTTACTTAAGTTACTGATATAAGTTTGATTTGGTCAAACAGGGTCATAGAAAATAAGCCTTTTACTTAGACAATATCATTTTTGAACTCATGATATTTTTTCCTTTGCTTCATGAAAGTGTTATATAAATAATAACATTAAAACATATATGAGTATTTGACTTTATGAAAATCCCGGAATTTTTTTTTTAAAAATTGTTCCTATTAACTGAAAACAAAAACTTTCGTAAATTTTTAAAACAGAATTTAGATTATTTAACTTTTTACAAAAAAGAATTTCTAATATTCGATAAAGTTAATTTGAATAAATTAAAATTAAAAAGCGAAAAAAAAAAAAAAAACTGTTACAAAAATTGATTTAGCGAAATTTTTTGAACTAAAATCCGTTTTAAACGTCACAGTTTTACTGGCTGTCTTAAACTGCTTTCCCTTATAATCATAGTATAATTTTTAAAAATAGATGAAGTTATAGAATGATACATTGAGTCTTCTTTGATTAAAGAGATAGTTGTTGGCGGGATGCTTGTAGAATCCAAGAAAACTTCGACTACAAAACGTCATTATGTCATTATGCCTTTTATTTTGGTTTTTGTGCACGGAAATGATACTGTTTAAATTTATATATTCTGATTCGCAACTCGTGTAAGGTACAACTTGTAGATGAGCAATGGTCTAAAAATCAATTTATAAAATTGTTTTTTGTTTGAAATTATCCATTATATCTTCTTAATTGAAAAAAACATTCTCTTAACAACTGAGATTGGATTTGTTTGGTTAGCTATCTTTAGTAAGACTCAAAATCAGGTTTGCGATTTTATAGAAAACGCAGACCTAGAATGTTTTTGTTTGCTATTGCGCATGCGAAAATTTTTAAAAAAAATTTAAAACCAACTCAGATCGTTTACTACGAATGCGTTCGTGGTAAACAAAAAGCCACATGTTAGAATAACATTAATGTTATTTCTAACACGTGGCTTGATTTTTGAAGTTCTCTTAGATTTTTTAAGTTCTTAATTCGTTTTTGATAACAAAATGATTTTTTTTTTTCCTTTTATCTCTGTTTACATAACATAAGAATTTTACAAATTCCACAACATAATATAAAATTTAACAAAATAAGTAAAACAGTAAGGAGCTCAAAGAAGATGAAGATGACAGAACGTCATCGCAATCTTTTCATAGAACCCCTTTAACAAGATTTAATTAAAATATCGTAATATGACATACAAAATAAAAATTTCAATAAAATATCATAACAAAATGCGTAATCCGCTAATAAAATTTGTCAAGCAACAAACATAAGTAGAAACAAAACAAAAACGTATTTAAGAGAATTTATCCAAAGCATTATTAACAAAAAATGTTTCACAGGTTTTAAAGATTTCTTTTTTTGTTAAAAACTTGAATGAACTTAACGAACTCACCGTACCTTTGAACCTTTTTTGAAAAATATTCCATACTTTTGGACCTCGATATAAAATGCTGTATTCTGAATATTTATTTATTATCCTAGGCAGTTTATATGTGTTCAATTTAGATATTTATTTCAAATACATTCATCATTTTCACATCTTTCATCAAGGTATTAGCGTGTTCCCGCCGATTTTTAAAGTAAATGATTCTACAGGCATGTTTCTGAAAACTATAAAGTTCCTTAAGCTTTGCTATTTGAGTACTTGCCCATGAAATGTTTGCATAGCTGATGAGGCTGTGAATTAGCCCAAAGTAGATTAATTTAAGACTATTTGTATTGATGTACGAGCGAACTCGATACATTAAACCTATGGTTTTGGTAATTTTTGACTGGATATATGTTATATGAGGAAGCTAGGATAATTTTTCATCACCAACGATTTCCAAGAATTTTATATTGGATTGCTTTTTAATTAGTTTATCATTTATAAATAGGTTTGGCAACTTGAGAGGAGGATTTTCTTCTTGTTTTTTTTATGAAAAAGTATATATACTTTTTCATAAAAAAAAAACAAGAAGAAAATCTTTCTCTCAAGTTGCCGAACCTATTTATAAATGATAAATTAATTAAAAAGCAATCCAATATAAAATTCTTGGGAATCATTGGTGATGAAAAGTTATATTGCCGAGAAAACAAACTATATATATATAGTTTGTTTTCTCGGCATTAAGTGAGAGTTTGTTAGCCTTAAACCAGTTAAAAAAAAATTTTTTTTTATATTAAAAAAAAATTTTTTTTTTTTTTTGATATAAAAAAAATTTAAACTTTTTGATATAAAATATAATTTTTTTTTTTTTTAAATTTCTTATGCGCAATAGCAGACAATAACATTTTAGGTCTGTGTTTTCTATAAAATCACAAACCTGATTTTGAGTCTTACTAAAAATAGTTAACCGTTTTGTTTATGTGCTTTTATCCGTTATAAAGATGGCGTCAAAATCTCATATGCCGAAACCACCCCTTATGAAAGCTCTTAGTTGTTGGTTCCCACCAATAACATAAGTTCTTTTCAAATTTGAATAAACTTGATTAAACCTCTTAAACAAAAATAGAGAGCGATATAGCTCATTCCATTATCAATTCAACTTTAACTACTTGAAGTATTTTGTTTACTTTGTTGAACTTTTCCGTATTTGTGCGTCAAGTTAAATCGGCCGCACATATCTGATATATATTCTGTTTAAAGTTTAAAAGTGTAAAACTGAAGTTTGTAAAATAAAAAAAATTGATTCCTTACCGGCTGGCTTCTCCAAACGCCTTGGTCCCGCAGCGGGTGCCTAGGCTGGACATGTGTAAAGACGGGCCTGAACACATGGGTCAAAGGAGAACTTTTACAATATCACAAAGTGAAAAATATTCATCATAAGACAATAAAAATCTTATTTAAATTTTTTTTTTAATTATTTCAAAATTCGATAAGACAATCGTGATATACTAAACAATATTCGATAAAGACAATCATGGTATACTTAAAAAAAAACTTAATTTATCCAATAATGTATTTCAGATATATTCCAGAAATGTTTCACAATGGTTGAAGAAAATATCAGTTTCAAAGAAAAATAAAAAAATTCGTCAAGAAAATTGTGATATACTGAAAAGAAGATGCAGAAAAAAAAAAAAAAAAAAAATCAATAGAATAATGATTCTAGTGAAGCTTACCATATTTCAAGTCAATTTAAGAAAAAACTTCAAATAGTATTTTTATTACCAAGAAACTATTTGTATGAGTTTACCTCAACTTTTATTGACGCGTCAAACTTTAGCGGTTCTCATGACAAGACTTCTAGGTCTTCTTTGAGTTTCCGAGTTCTTTATTTTTATTTGATTTCTATTATTTTAACATAATCTTCAATTGCAAACTTTTTAACTTTATATATATTTATATAAAAATTTTAAAGAACAAAAAAAACACCGTGAGACGTTGTTCCGACAACCGAAGTTAATATTGGTATTCTTTTATATTTAATTAGAGGTTTTCAAATTTTTTTTTTTTTTTGCGCTTCTTTTATTAATATGCAAAGTGTTAAAATTTTTGCAATTAAGAAATTAAAAGAAATTCATTGACTTAATTGGTTATTAAGAGAAACTTATCAATTGGAGAGTCATCATTGGAATCCATTTTACTTTTTATGTTATGTCGAGTTTATTCAACTATTTTTCTTATACACTACTACTTTACAAACTACTTGCTACTAGTTGAACAATTCCAATTTCATAATATATTTTAATTATGAATAAAATATTCGTAATTATCTCTAAATATTGTGTCATCGGAATGCGCGTTTTTTACAAATAAAAGATTCAACTCTTTCAAAATGATTTGCAAAAAATATTAAACCAGGGCAAATAGTAACGTGTTTCACAATCCGTTAGCAAAAGGTAAAAAAATAAATTTTAAATAGCTCTACAGCGCATTAATGTATACTTTGCACAAGGACTACTATACGGAAGGACGCGCAAAGTCGATTTCCTGACTCCGCTAGCGAAGGCCAGTCAATATTTCTCACTTAACTCATAAATAACTAAAATTGGCTTAAACAACGTTTCATAAAATCAAAATTCTGAAATACGATTAAAATAATTTTACGTTATTGTTAATAGCAAAATCAAAACTTATTTTAAAAAGCTTAAAAGATCGATATAAAAAACCTCTATAAAAAAACAAAGAACATATTATTGACACAACTTATTTATAAAGAAATAAACATATAAACATCATATTCTCTAGAGACTTTTAAACAATGTTAAAACTTTTTTTTTTAAAACATAATGAACTTAATATAACTTCGTAAAGAAATAAACAATACAATATTTTTCAAGTAAAAAATCTAAAAAGAAAGATTCACTACTCAGCAAGGCGTGCCTTCTTAATTGATGTCTGATAAAGACATGCATTTTTTGCTTGGTCTTTATCCAAATTCTAAATTCCATGCAGAAGAACATTTGCCAAACGCCTAAAAAGACTCTTTGATGATAAACCAAAATCATAATATGTGTCCATTATAGATAGAATGTTTATAAGTCTTTTTCTACAACATGCTCTGTGCTTTGTTTTTTTCACAAAGCATAAACCAATTCTAACTAGCTGATAAGTACACTCATGTGGAATTGTCAAATAGCCCCTTGAAACTTCTTCAATAAAGTCTTTAGCTTCATTTGTTAGTTCAGGTTCATCATCTGGATAAACTATTTCATCTTCACATTTTTTCTCAAGCCATCCTGCTACATAGGCAGCAGAGCTCTCTTCAGTTTCAGAAAGACTCACATCATAAATGCATGTTTCAATTGAGGTTGCATCTTCAATACTAATTGGACCCTCACATATGTGACCTTTTTTATTGGGTTGTCCTACTTCCACTGATTCTAAAAATGATGCAGCAAATCTAGCTAAACGCTTTTTAAAAGCAGAGAAAACATCACCAGCTGCCATAAAAGCATTTGCCCCTGTTTATTGTCTATAAACAGAAAGTTCTCCTTCTATTCTATCACTTTGTAGCTCACAAAGCAAAACATAATCAAAACCAACTAAAAACAAATGTTTGCAGAAAGCTATCAATCCTTCAGTAGTTTGCACAAGAGCTTTTTTGGTATCATGGGTAACGCACTGAACTTCTTTAGGCCCATGTCCTGATTCCATACATTTAAATATGTCTAAAAACAATTGAAGATTATTTGAATTTTTATCTTGCACAGATCGGTTGTGATCTCTCAACCTAATATCCTGCCCTTTTGCAGAAACATTAACAATATTCCACCAATCTAAAATCTGCTGGATAAAAGAGGATGTTTCATAAGCTCCTTTTAGTTTAAGGGAAGCTACTGCTTTCTCATTAAAAACTTTTAAAACATGCTGTACATTCTGTAGTTGAAGTCTCGAAGGATAGACAGCAGCATAGGATTTTTTAAAATGTTCTCTTTCTGGTATTGATATAGACTTTTCACATCTGAAAATGAAGCTATGGTTTTATTATCAAGAGATAGCTTTTGACACTTTTCAGAAATCCAGTTTTTGCGAATACATTTAAATAGATGAACTGTGTCAAATAAAAGAAACCAAACACGCTGATTGTCTAATGGATAAATGGCCTGATAGTCAGTTATTCTGTTAAAAATTTTGCAGTATTGCTGATTGATTTTATGATTATCAGTTACAGATCCTAAAACAATAAACTGATACAATGATGTTAGTTTGTGAACAGGGGTAACAGAAATCATTAAACTAGGTCCACCATGTAAGCATTTCATCATGACACATAGCATAGAGGTTGCTTTAGATTCTGGATCATTTCTTGCCATCTCATTTAAAACTCCACATAAATAAGCAACTGTTGGCCTAATTTTTACCTCGTCAACTATCAAAATAACATTTTTCTGTTGATTATTCTTTACGTTTTCAAATGTTTTTTGTAAAATATGGTCAATGTTAGTGGCAGAAATTATAGACTGAAGCTTTCGTTTACTTGGAAGGACTAAAAAATCACGAAGTTGATCGTAGTTGCAGTTATAAAAAGACTCGATTGCAAAGCAATAATCAGCTATAGAGAAACTTTTTTTAGACAAGAGTTTGAGTTGTCTTGTAATAAAATTCAATTTTTTTTGTTTCTTATCATCATTTAATTCAAATTCATTTTCTGAAAGAGTATTTGTCATCTTTTCAATAACATCATTAACATGCAGATTATAATTATGAACTAAATTGATTGCTTCAAAAAATTGTGAATAGAAGATTAAGCCATTGTTTGGATTCAATATATGAGCTAATGGAACGGAAATTCAATGTTTAAAAGCTGAAAAGGTTAGCGGTGAACACAAGGTACACTTATCATAAACAATAATCGTCACAAAACTCTCTTTGAAATCTTTTGACATAAAAATGCATATGAATTTATCGTCTTGTTGAGATATTACTATATTTTTATACTTTTTGTGCAACTCATTGTCAGGATAAAAATCAGAAAACGAATTTATTTTATCTTTTTTGATGAAATAATTCAATTGCATGTCCTCAGGTTTAGATTGGCGAGGCACAGGCTTTGGCGTTGGTAAACAAGAAAAAGGAACATTAAAAATACAAGGTGCACATGCTGGTCGAGTATAGCCACCAGGCAGCTTAATCATTTCTGTATTTTCAGGCCAATGTTTTTTACATATAAAAAATTTAGATGGCTCAATAATAAAATTTTTACGTAAAGGAAGAACATTAATCCATTACTGTTTCTCAATTTCATCTTTCGGTAATTTAAAAATACGACACTTATTAAGTTTATTATAATTCCCTTTACAATTTACAACGCCACATTTGTTCACCATGATTATGGTAAAAATTAAAAAAAAAATGTTACAGGAACGTTAAAGATCACTTTAACTTTGATAAAAATAATGGCCTTCGCTAGCGGAGTCAGGAAATCAACTTTGCGCGTCCTTCCGTATAGTAGTCCTTGACTTTGCAGTATAACACGCTTAGTTTGCAGTATAGATTTTAGCCAGTAGCATGGAAATAAAAAATCGCTATTCGCTATGATATTGTATGATTGAATATAATGAATTATAAAAAGCTTTTGTATAAATTTTGATAAACAAAACAAAAAACTTACTTTCCAATAAACTATTTATCAACATAGTTGTAAAAACCTAAAAATTTATTTAAAGTTGTAAAAAATTCATTTATGTTAATTACTATAAGTAAAAAATAGTGCAACTGTTAAAAAAAAAAAAAACTCTTTAGCAAAAAAAAAGGATGTTTTATTTACTTACGTAATAATTTCAAAACAGGCGTACAGGAATTTTAAAGTGACAAATTAGGAAAAAATATTTAGACAAAATTTAAAATTTATAACATATAAATCAGCGCTATGTAACCATATTAAATAAAAATCTATATTAAAAACAATTTTGATTATGTACAGTTTAATAAATTATTTAGAAAACTCTACTCAATTTTATCGGATTTCGAGACATATTGCAATCGTAAAGCAGTTTTTATTGTAACAAGTTCTCCTAAAACTAAAGCTAGTGCCCACAATGGAGCATAATCAAATGTTATCAGCCCATGCACGTGATAAGTAGTGTAGCTTTCGTAATTCCAAGGACACGCATTAAACAAACGTAAAATAGAACCAGTTGAATATTCCCACAAGTACGTCCACAAAATATAAACGAATATTCGCAAGGGAAGGGGAATTTTAGGCTTAAGAAATATATATAAATTTTCTGTAACAAATGTAGATATTGAATATATAGGAAATGACCACAATGAAGTGCAACCATGAAGGGTCCATCCATACGCGTATTTAGGATCCAATAAATACCAAACAGCAGTGAACAAAACTTCTACAAAGAAGCCACACATGCCATAAAAAATTAGTTTGGAAAATAATGGAAGACCTTCATGATTGGTCATTATAAATTTTTTGTAAAACTTTTTTTAACTTTCTTTAAAGCTTTTAATTTGAATTATTGATTGTAATAATATACTCTAAAATGTAAAAACTTTACTTTTTTTTTATGCAGGTACAACAAAAGTCTAATTAAATAATAAATAATATATATGTAATAAATTAATTGTTAAAAATATTCAACACATTAAATACTATATTTAAAAACAAAAATAAAAAACAAAAAAGTTTTATTAAAATTTACTTGCTCTATTAAACAATAAATAAATTTAAAAATTATTCATGCATAAAAACTAAACTGATTTATATCCAAAAACAAATATCTACATAATTAGGCCATTTTACTTTCGTAAATATCATTTAATTCTTTCTTCAGTGCTTCAGGAACCTTGCTTGCATAACTTTCGTGGCCATTAAAAGTAACTAACACACCACACCAATTCATATAAGACTTTTTTTCTGTACTTCCGTAATTAATATCTCTGTTTAACATATCTGTTACACAACCACCCATTGCAGAAATAATTGCTTCTGGGGCGCATGTATCCCATTTTTTAGTTCCGGGGGTGGCAAATACATAAGCATCTGCAGACCCTTCTATAACTTGAAGCACTTTAAACCCACATCCTCCAACACGAATAACTTTGTCTGCATTCATTGAATTAATTGCTTGGACAACAGAGGCATTATCATGAGATAATGTTGTAACTACAAAACGCCTACCTGGAGGCGGTGGGTGTCTGTGAACACCAAAAGAACCTATTCCCTTAACACCCCATATTGTTCTACCACAAAACTTTACTTTTTCGCTAGAGTAAAAGGGTTGATGTATAATTCCTGCTATGGCTTTTCCAGCTGAAGATATGCCAATTAAAATTGTTACATGCTCTACATGACCTTGGATATAAAATATTTGAATGATATAAAAAAAAATTGCTTTTAAAATCAATTTTTAAATTAACAAAAAAAAGTATGTTACCCTTTGTAAACTCAGCTGTACCATCTAATGGATCGACCCAGACTATCATCTATAAAGACAATATATATATATATATATATATATATATATATATATATATATATATATATATATATATATATATATATATATATATATATATATATATATATATATATATATATATATATATATATATAATCATCTATAAAGACAATATAATATATATATATATATATATATATATATATATATATATATATATATATATATATATATATATATATATATATATATATATATATATATATATATATATATATATATAAACTAAGTTGTTTAATATTTAGTACATGCTAAAGTCTTTTTTCTATTTAACAAGTTCCCTTATTAAAAAAATGTTGTTCAAATATAGGTCAACCTGGTACCATTCCTACCTGGAACCAATGGAGGAGACCTGATACCTGGTCTCCTCCATTGTTTTTATGCAACAATCTACTTTAGCATAGTTTAATAATTAATAATTATTTCTAAAATTCGTACAAGACATCAGTACATTTGACTATCTTATAGCCTGCTGCTGCAAAGGAGTGCAGGTATACTAACTGAGGGTTTGGTCTGGGGCAGCAATTTTTTCATTATTATGAATTTTTTTCTTTTTTTTCTAAAATCTAAATCTTGACAAGATGATTTCCTCTACAATGATTTCTAAATGAATCCCTTATTTCGAGACTGTTAGATCATGCTACTCTTCCAAATATTTAATTTCAAAATCAAAAATTTAAACAGTTTTTTGCTTTTATACATATTGAGTTAGGTAAGAATATTTAATTAAAAATGAAACCTATTATTTTTTTATTATTATTGCAACATTCTGAAACAGTAATTGACTAGTTTTGTGAATTTTGCATTTAGACCTTTACACATTGATGTACTCTTTTTATTTATAGCCATTTAAAAACTTTTTTTTTAAACATTTACTCTTGCACATAAAAAAACTAAGAGTTTAGCAAAAATATTTAAAAAAAAAAAAGATTTTTAGAATTTTTATAAAATTTTGCCTAATTTGAGTTCCAGGTACTCAATAATTAAAAGAAAGGTTGAACTTTTTTCAATAATATGACCACTGAAATAGAAAATGAATTTATGCATGTATTGGAAAACTTAGTTTAAGTGTAACTTGGAGTAGCAAAAAAAATATTTCTTTGAACTTTTTTAAATCAAAAAAATAGTCATCAAAAAATCTTTAAATTCAGCAGCTTCAAAAATTTTATAAATAAATTAGTAAATGCAATGAAATTATGAGCTGATGAAAATAAAATTATATAAAATATTGTTTCTGATGTAAGGAATCTATAAAAATCTAGACAATTCTTACTTATAAAAATTAGACTAGTTAAATAATAAAACAAATGTTAAGTAGATCAAGAAATTGTTTATTTCTTCTTGAATGCTTTTAAAATTTAATTCAATAATATGCAACTAGTTATTAAGTAACTTTAGTTTTAATCGTGACAATGATCACATTAGAGTATTAGAAATAACTTCTAGTGAAAGTTAAAAACAAAAAAAGACTTTTTTTAAATATTTACAAAAATAGAACTAATTGGAAGAATTATTTTAAAACTTTCAAATAAGGACTAAAGATAACTGTTTCAAAAATTACAAAGCACTAATAAAGAATAATGTAATATATATATATATATATATATATATATATATATATATATATATATATATATATATATATATATATATATATATATATATATATATATATATATATATATATATATATATATATATATATATATTATTTTGCATTATTAGTAAAAAATTAAGTTTTGAATTAAAAAATAGAGTTGCGAATGAATGAGATTTGTTGCTATATCAAATTATTTAAACAATCAAATCAATCTTTGCATAATGTCTATAACTGCAAGCATAATAAAGACTATGATAGTAGCTTGTGACAGACACTAACATTTTTTATCTAACTTATCATATTTGTTATTACCAGCTGCTAATGCTCAGGAACACTGCAATTGCCCAGTGAAAATCTCAACTAACTACACCAAGGTTAAGTATTTTTTATATCATAAAGTTAGTGGTACTATTGGATTGTTTACATAGTTGCTAGGGACACTTTAAATGCATAGTACCAGTACAACTTGCACAGCTATCAAGCTTACATGATTTTCCTATAATGAAAAAGTTATAAACTAGACTGATACTAATGGTACAGGCAGATCGAAAACTACTTTATGGATTTCAATGATTACACACTAAATAAATACAGCCAACCACTGTTTTTTGTTGTTGTTATACTATTCCAGGGAGCTTAGAAACTAGTTATTTTATATTTCTTGAATTTACTAGATAATCCTTATGCAAAAAAAGGAATTAAAGCTATAACCTTTGAAAACAATCTTGAAAATAAATATGTGACACAATTTTGTGGTTCAATTAGTGATATTTTTGTGCAATTTATAGTTTTTTTTGCATAGCAATCAGAGATTTCACATTTTTGGACATAAAAAAAACTTGATAGGTTTTCACACTTTTGGACATCAATAACAAGCTCAATTATTCTTTTATTTGTACTTTTTTGTTTCTTGTTTTTAATAAAACTTTTTCTCTACTTCTCTAACTTGATGTTTTCTACTTTGTATATGTGTAAGATACATTTAATAATAAAGCATTATGTAAGCATATAATATTGAGAGACCTACTTTAAGCCATTATCATAGTAATCAGTCATCACAAGTAGGTTGAAATCATGTTTGTGCAAGAAGGTAAATAAAACTCATTTGAGTAGGCTAGGCACCACACACTGAACAACATTGATTTAAATTTATTTGGTAATTTTTCTACCCACCAGTTTAATAATATGATTAACCATGATAATATCAATTATATGATTAACCATGATAATATCAATTATATGATTAACCATGATAATATCATTTATATGATTAACCATGATACTATGTAGAGTTCTATGGTCAGCTACGCAACGAGCGCAACATGTTTTTAAAAATTTAAACTCATTATATTATAATTTTTAATTTGTTTTTACGTTTACACTCAAATTATCCTTTTTTATTATTGTTCACAAATAAAAAAGGATAAGAAGACAATTTGAGTAAAATAGAAATAAAAGACAGCGGTCAGCTACGCAACGCGCAAAAAAGCTTGTTTTTTTAATTTAAAGTTTGAATTATTTTTTCTCCGAATCTATAATTTATTTTTTTATAAAAACGTTTTTTTCTTCAAAAACAATTATTTCATTGAAGTTATATTTATAAAAATTTTTTAATATAATATTAATTACACGTCAAATAAAAAGTTTTCAAAAAACTATGCGGTCAACTACGCAACAATCAGCCACGCAACATGCGAATTTTTATTATAATTCAAATTAAAACCCAAAACAAATCTAAAACTATATTTATAGCTTGTATTTAGAAACAATAAAATTTATTTATAAAGTTTATAAAAATAATTTTACATTAAAAGAAACCTGGATCCCGGGGTGGAAAAGGGGGAGAGGGTTTTAGAAGCTTCAGTACTCTCACTTTTTTAAATAATGGGGCTAGGGGGTAGGTAATACAATTTCCTTTTAAATGTACTCTTGATATTTTTATCTGTTCACAACCTTATTATATAAACGTTTTTAACTCAAAGATGTATATAAATACATTCATTTTACTTGCATTTACTTTGGAACTTTGATCTTCAGAGCTTTAAAAGCATCAAGTATTTGGACAATAATTGAACAACTAAAATAATTTAAAAAGCAACAACTAGAAGTTCTTTAAACGTGTAAGCTGTTGTTGTTGATCGAAATGTATTAGGGATAAACTGAATAAACCTTCCGAGCTTAGTTGCGCAAAAAAAGTCACCCCAAGACTTTCAATAGAATAACAATAACAGGTAAAAAAAAAAACGTTTTAAGAAATCATGCAGTCAGCTACGCAACAATCAGCTACGCAAAACAAAACAAATCTAATATTTATTTATGACTTTTATTAAGAAATTTTTACAGCTTTTTAAGGTGATTTTTAAATTACTTGATCACTGCTAAATGTCTAGACGCTTCTATTCCTTTGATATTATGCAATATTTGGCAAAAGCTGCTCACCTACAACGTTACCGTCTAAAACCTGAAAGTAATGGCATTTATGCAATTCTTTAATTTTTTTTGTTTTCTTAAAAAAGGTGCTCAAACCAAGAGAGTTGTTTATCTCTAGCTTTTCTTTATCAGTCAGTAATATAACGGTCATTTTTAAATTGTTTGTTGCGGCTGCCAAATCGCTAGAACTAGAAATGATATATTTTTCAGTTAAAACATTTTTTCTGGCAACACGTTTTACAGTGGCTCCAATTCCATCCACAACTCCTTTTCCATGCATTGCAGCAAAAAAATGCCAGTGCATTTTAATTGTATGCTTTTTTTCTAAAATTTTCATTGATGCCAAAATATATTTATTTTTAAATTGTGATGTTGCATTATCACTGAATATATGAACTTCTGTAATATCGTCTGATAGAAGCTCGATAATTTTATTTATGTTTGGAACAACAGGTAATTTTGTATGATCGCTTGAATCACAAACTAGCGCAAAAGATTTAATTTGACGATGCCAAAGCGCACATGTAAATATAGAAATGTGATTTTGACCGAAATGAGCTGCTTGCGTTTCGTTTTGGTAAATACAAGTATAATTTTCTGCCCAGTCAACTTGAATAACAGCCTTATTTGAGTCTTTTTGAATCGCTGATTCTATATTAAATTTAAATACGGACGATTGACTGCTCTTGACATTACAATGAATAATAAACTTTGCACGCATTTCTTTAATATGTGATAATAAAACTGCAATTGTTCCTTCTTTTTTAACCTTTTCTATTTTATATACGATTTTGCTTGAGGTTTCTGCCACTGATTCCATGAAACATCTAACTCAAATTGTTCGAACTGAAGTAATAATTTATCAAACATATTACAAACAGTACATTCTTTGCAAACGGCATTGAAGCATTGTTTTGTTGGTTTTTCACAAATAAAGTTTAGAATCATAGAGTTTCCCGTTTTAATTGTAGTGAATATATCTGAACCCCGCGAAAGTGATTCAAGAGCATAACGCATATTTTCATGTAACATGCAAACGCACACGTTATGAGGAATTAATGATACACCTCGAACGTAAATTGGTCTCAACTGACAAAATTTTGACAGGCTTAATTTAACATCTGCATTGTTTAGCTTAAACTCTTCGAAAGCTTCTTTTAGCGTATATAACATGTGTCAAATTTGAACAGACACCTTTTTTTCTCCTATCACTACAGAAGTATAATCTGCTGTTCTTGGGGATATTCAACATATTTCATCGCTGCAATAAAAATTTGGTATAACCACTAAGTCTTTTTCTCGGAGACTGTTTGTTGATTTAGGAATTGAGTAAGTTAATGGTTGAGTTTCATTGAGTAAACAACACAACAGTTCCTTTTTCTGAACAAGACTTTTGGGAAGAGAGCGATTCAATTTTTTTATATACTTTCCTTTAACTTGCACATTTGCAAATGATGAGTGATTTGATTCGAGAGATAAAGATGCGTTTTTTTGCCACAGTCGAAATTATCTCATTCTTTTTAAACTTTTTAATCTTTCAGGTGCAATTTTTCGAAAATCTTTTTTCCATCTTTGTCTTCGAAGTCTAGCATTTTCTTTAGCTTTGAATTTCTTTTCTTCATGATTTCTACTCATGTAATTCTTTTGATTCATTGTTTTTCTATTTTTTATCTTTAAAAAACTAAACATTCAAATAAATGTAAAAATTACTTAAAAACTCTATAAAAACACAATGCTCACCTTTTTTATTTTCATTGGATGCGCAAGCAACTGGTTCCTGCAGTGATTCCATATCTTTATATTGACTATAAAATCTTTTGGAGTTTTAAATAATTTCTAATTGACTATAAATGTTTTGAAGTTCAAAATAGTTTGGGCAAAACTATTTGTTGCATTTTAAAAAATTGACAAAATTTGCGACATTTAAATGTTTAGTTTTGGCAGTCAGCTACGCAACAGGAAGTTGAGTTGGTTTTTTTTAACTATTTGATGCCAATTTTTTTTAATTATTGCAAAACCTTAATATGGCTAATTAGTTGACGCAAATAATCGACAAGGAATTAAAAAAAAAAATTGATGAAAAAAGACAACTTTTCTTTCCCAGCGGTCAGCTACGCATCATGATTGTGTAAGAAACTATTTTGCTTATATCGCGTGAAATAACTAAAAATTAAATGTTAGTGCATTAACATATTAAACCAGCTTTGCAGCCGACCAATTTAAAACTAATTGGAAAAATTTTGGATCACTACAAGATTTAAAAAAAAAAATGAAAGTTAAACACTTTTTCTTAAATGAAATTATACTTTTTCCGTTTACTTTAAAATCTATAAATTGCTTGTTCAATTTTTTTTTTTCTTTAATTATTTTTTATTAACATTTAAGACTATATACTTATAGTAATGGAAAAAAAAATTCATTATTTTTATTTTTTAAAACGAGATTTGTTTTAATAACCGCGTGGAACTCTACCTATCAATTATACTAGTATGCTTTAAATTTCTTTCACACTCATTAATGCAATTAATAATTAATTATTGAGTAAATTAATTGACTTAAGGTCAACTAATTTACTCAACAATTTATTAAATATCTATTTAAATGTTGAGATAAATTAATTGACTTAAGCTCCCTTAACATTTAAATAGACATTACATGTCTATTTAAATGTTGAGACCAAATTAATATTACATAACCGGTCACAATATATTGTTGGCATCGCTAAACAAAATTAAGCATGCCATTTCTTGTAAAAATCATTAATAGAGTCCATGATAACAAAAAATAAATTTAAATTGATTATATACATATTGGCTGGACTATTTAAAAGTTCAAATATCTGGACCTTTTGGGCTGTAAAAGTAATTAATTATATAAATTATATATAATTAAATACACCTCAAACACATTACCATTTGGAGTTGACTTGACTTTGACAAAACAATATTTAATTTAAGCATTTTTGAAGATATTTCCGCCTACTACTGTCTACTATACTACTACTACTACTACTACTACTACTACTACTACTACTACTACTACTACTACTACTACTACTACTACTACTACTACTACTACTACTACTACTACTACTACTACTACTACTACTACTACTACTACTACTACTACTACTACTACTACTACTACTACTACTACTACTACTACTACTACTACTACTACTACTACTACTACTACTACTACTACTACTACTACTACTACTACTACTACTACTACTACTACTACTACTACTACTACTACTACTACTACTACTACTACTACTACTACTACTACTACTACTACTACTACTACTACTACTACTACTACTACTACTACTACTACTACTACTACTACTACTACTACTACTACTACTACTACTACTACTACTACTACTACTACTACTACTACTACTACTACTACTACTACTACTACTACTACTACTACTACTACTACTACTACTACTACTACTACTACTACTACTACTACTACTACTACTACTACTACTACTACTACTACTACTACTACTACTACTACTACTACTACTACTACTACTACTACTACTACTACTACTACTACTACTACTACTACTACTACTACTACTACTACTACTACTACTACTACTACTACTACTACTACTACTACTACTACTACTACTACTACTACTACTACTACTACTACTACTACTACTACTACTACTACTACTACTACTACTACTACTACTACTACTACTACTACTACTACTACTACTACTACTACTACTACTACTACTACTACTACTACTACTACTACTACTACTACTACTACTACTACTACTACTACTACTACTACTACTACTACTACTACTACTACTACTACTACTACTACTACTACTACTACTACTACTACTACTACTACTACTACTACTACTACTACTACTACTACTACTACTACTACTACTACTACTACTACTACTACTACTACTACTACTACTACTACTACTACTACTACTACTACTACTACTACTACTACTACTACTACTACTACTACTACTACTACTACTACTACTACTACTACTACTACTACTACTACTACTACTACTACTACTACTACTACTACTACTACTACTACTACTACTACTACTACTACTACTACTACTACTACTACTACTACTACTACTACTACTACTACTACTACTACTACTACTACTACTACTACTACTACTACTACTACTACTACTACTACTACTACTACTACTACTACTACTACTACTACTACTACTACTACTACTACTACTACTACTACTACTACTACTACTACTACTACTACTACTACTGTCCTACTATTAATGGTTTAAAAGATGTCAATAAAATTCTTTGAGCCTAAAGTCTATTTATGAAACTTTATAATCTATTTTTGTTTATTAAAAATTTGAAAACAGATAAAATTAAAAAAAAAAATTTATATATTCTACCTATATCATTTATGCACAAACTAAAAACTATCACTTAGTACTTGTGTACTTCCGTCACCAATATAATTGTAACCAATATTATTGATTTAACACACATACGTTTTTTTTTTTTACTGTAGTAACTATAACTATATTAATAAAAATGAATGATTACATCAATTTCAAACAAGTAATATTGAGTGGTGTGAAATACTATAAAAAAATAATTACAAAAAATTTATTAAATAAACCTTTTGTTTTAGTAAACATCTACCTTCATTAAAAAAAATAAAAAAAAAGGAAAAATCCTAATTTTTCTACAACTCTATACAAAAAATTATTTTAAGTATAAACTCATATTGATAAAAAGGAGCCATTTTTTTGACTTTTGTTTGTAATTTTATTTATACCTTTTTAGAGATAAAAACCAATAACTAAATATTTAAAATAGAAAATAAGTTGATGACCTTTACTTAAATAGCATCCCATAAAAATGTTAAAGATCCATGAAAACAATTTAAAACATTTTAAAAAGTAAAAAAAACTCACATCATCTATATTTAATTTTTCATATTCTGAGGGACAACTGTGTTTGAGAACATCTTCATCAAACTCTTTTTGAAGAAACTCTTCTTTTGCACTTTCACAATCATCCTTTAATAGTATAAAATTCCATTAAAACTTTGCTTTCAAAACAGGAATAACATTAAGATAAATTGGAAAATACTAAAAATAGTTAGTATTTAATACTATTTTTTATATAATGAAAACCCATTCTTATACCTCTTCACCAATAACATTAATTCCAGGAAATTGACTTTTAAGTGATCCTATGATGACACATTGTGCAGAACGATCAGCTTCTGTTTGAGGATCAAACTCCTCGCCATCAATAGCCTAATTTCAATAAAATTGTTACAGCTAAACTCAATTGTTTAATTCAAATTTTTAAATAAAATTTTTAAATAACTTAAAATAATTTTTTGAAAAAGTTAAATTAAACTATGCCTAATAAATTTTAACATACTTTATCTATAACTCCAAGTTGACCGGAATTTAGAACAGATCGAATTATGTGACCTGCATGATTTGCAATCGCTACAGATGATGCAACAAGTTTCATCAAGTTAGAAGTCATACTTTTAATTTTATGCTTAAATGAATTACATCTTTTAAAATGACATTTAAAATTTATGTGTTTGAGGAATTTTGATTAAAAGAACAAGAAGAAAAACAAATTATTTAATTCAGTAAAATAATCTATTAAATTTTTTTTAATTTTAAACTTCGTGGGAAAAGTTTATTAAATATGCTTTAAGATATACAATTTTTAATTTTTTATAAAACAGCAATTTTTAAACCTACACCTAACAATTGTTACAAAATTTTTTTATAAATCTTCATCAATTTCATTTACATAAACTTTTCGCAGTTTTTCATTCTGAATCTCAACTGCTGCAACTTTTAAAGGCCAGCCATTTCCTAAAATGCCTGCTTGAGCTGCAACACCTATTGCAACAGCTATATCAGGGTTTATAGATGTATTTGGGACTTTGTTAAAAAAATCAGCAACAAGTTCACGAACCTTTGGGACTCTAGTTGAGCCACCAACTAAAACAATTTCATCTATTTCATTTTTTGTAATTTCTGCATCTATTAAAACTCGTTTTATTGGGTCCAAGACTTTTAAAAATAATTCTTTATTAATAGAATTAAAATCATCACGAGATAAAACATAAAAGTAACTGATTGGTTTACCAGTTATTGGAGAAATAGCTTCAAGTGAAAATTTTATTTCAGCTTCAGCATTATCTGTCAAACTAATTTTTATGAATTCAACTTGGTCTCTTATAACTTGTAAATCATTTGGAGTTATTTCAACTAAACCAAATTTTTCTTCCAACATTTTCCGAACAAAATTAATTAAATTATTATTGATATCTTGACCACCAAGTCTGTTATTTCCTGCCATTGCCATTGTAATAAACATTCCATCGCGCACCATCAGTAAAGAAACATCTAATGTTCCTCCACCAAAATCAACAACAATAACTGTATTTATACCAGGTTTTTTATGGAGACCATATGCTAAAGCTGCTGCTGTAGGTTCATTAATAACTCGTAAAACTTTTAAACCAGCTCTACGCCCAGCTTCTATTGTGGCATTTCTTTGAGCTTCATTAAAATCAGCTGGAACACTTATAACTGCCATACTAATGGTACGATCTATTGCACTTTCAACCATGCCTTTAAGTTTACGCAAGATAAAAGCTCCAATATCTTCTGGAGAAAACACTTTAGTACCATTACGTAGTTTTATTTCAAAATAAGGATCATTCAAAGAATTAACAGAAACTTTAAATGGATAATTAGATGATAACTGTTTAATTTTTTCGCTGCTAATTTTTTTACCAATAAATCTTTTTGCATCATATATTGTGTTTCGACTATTGGTTTCAATTTGCTCAACTGCTTTATAACCAACTAATACTTCATTTTCAAGTATTGCAACAACACTGGGAATAATATTTTTTTCGTCTTTATCCTTGTAAACAGTTACATTACCTGATGAAAACTCATAAGTACTGATGCATGAAAAAGTTGTACCTAAGTCAATACCCACTATGCTTGGTTTTGGAGGTGGTAAACGACTTTGTACAAAATACCCAGTTACTATTAATGCAAAAACAGCTATTGCAGCTGATCCAATCATTGAGTTCATTTTTATATATACTAAAAATAGGTCATATAAAATTTAAATATATTAAAAGTAAAATACAGTTTTGCTATTGTGTAATACATCTAATAAAGACTTTCCTTTTCTTAACTTGTTATTTATGTTAAACATTAGAAGATATTCTATAATATAGTTTGTTTCAAAAAATGTCAAAATGCTTTAAAAATCTTTTTAAACAAGCTATTTGTAAACAATAAGAAATACAACAATTTTGACATGAAACTTTTTTAAACAAAAAGTTTTTTTAAATGTCCTGCATAATTCAGCTTAAGGTAAATTCTCTACAACTATATTTTTTATAAAAATATGGTTGTAATATATTACAACCAGTTTTTATAAAAAGTCTTTACAACCATATTAATATGGTTGTAAAAACTTTTTATAAAAACTGATCTTTAAAATTGTAACAATAATTATTTATAATTTTCGATTAAACCTGATTTTGTAAAGCTATAATTAGGCTTTACAAAATCAGGTTTAATTAGTTTTTTAGTTTTATGGTTAAAGAAATCATTTATTAAATCCATTTATTAAAACTATTATTATTAATCAGAAATAATTATAAAATATATTTAAATATCTCTCTTTAATATAACAGGTATTATTAGCAATTATTACTATATATTATGATTATTACTTACTTTATAGTTATAGACATAATAAGTCTATAACTATAAAGGAAATGTGTATGTTTACTCTAAAGACGTTTCAAAATAAACTGAAAATACTTCCGCTAAAAATTTTTTACTAAATTATTTACTATAATATGGTAACGGGCCGTTAAAGAGAAAAGCAAAGACGTTAAAGCGAATCTTTTCTTTATTCTTTATTATTTTAATAATATAACCTGGTTTTTATCTTTGTTCTTAAAACGTTGCATTTAAATAACCTTTTATTTATAAATAAAAAAATATTTTATCAACAATTTTATATAACTAATTTTACTACTTTAAGTATACTAAAATATATAAAACTTTCTATTAGTTATAGTTTGCTGATAGAAACCAGTAATATTTTTGCTTAAACGTTTTTTGCTTTAACGACCCTGAACCCTATGATATTTACTTATCGACTTAATACTTTTACAGGCAATAACGCATGCGTACACTTATGATATAAAATGCGCAAGCATCAAACAACGCTTATTTTTGAGGAGTGAATTATAGCGTGTTTGTTTTGTTTATTAGCCAATCCCATAATTTTTTTTTGACTAATGTGTGGCTAATAAGTGGCGTAAAGGTCATATTTATATATAAAAATTTTCAATTTTTAATTTTTTCTTAATAGAAGTATTCGCGCCGATTGTTCGAAGTTACGCTTTCTATGATTTTTGACTAAACTTAGAGCAATTTCCAAGCATTGGCGCCAGTAAATTCTGATGTCAAATCTACTTACTTTGTTCAAAAATATTTTCTTAATGTGTTCCTGTACCAAAAAAATACTGAGCTTAATGCTTTAAGAAATATGTTGTATCTATCTTTCACTGATTACGATAGATAAATTAACACTTTGGCTATTGTAAAGTGATTTTTTGTTGAATTTTGAGTTTTTTCTCAGTCATACGACAAATTTTATGATTTTCACTTCATTTCGGTATCAAATAGTGTTTTTTTTTAACACTATTACTGGAGCCTTGAATCAAACAAATCTAAAATGGTTTCCTTAAAAGATTGGGGAATGGACTTTCGATCTTTTAGTGTAAACAAAACTAGATCAAAACAAATCAATGTGATTCAAATATATATATACAGATTTTTTTCTGTGGTTTTTTTAGTTGCTCCAAGAAGACCTAATGGTTGCATCAGAGAACACCACAGAAGAGCATTTAACTTGAAAGTTTACGCGTGCTTCATGTCAAAAAAAAAAAGCCTAGAGAAGGCATCGATCAGTGAATGATTCAGCATTTTTTGGTCCTTTGAGGTAGCTATCAGACATGGCGCAAACTCCAAACATTTTTATGTTTATACTTATTTTAAATAACAAGGCTTTGCAAATTATTCCGAAGATTGGAGGCTGGGAACAAAAAAGGGCCCTAAAATCTCATCCTCCCCTCCCCAAACGCAAGGGCAATAAGTTGGTAAAAATTTTTTTTGCTATTCTAAACTAAATTTATATTCATCGATAAATTTTAAGTTTCAAAGTATTATCTCTCATCGTCCATAAATTATGACCAAATTTAAAACCCCCTCAATTTTAGGGGGTTATAAATTTTATATGTTAATATTTTTTTAACGCTTATACTTAAAATTTATCAATGTATATAAACTTAGATAAGAATAGAAAAAAATTATTTTATCAACTTGTTGCTCTCATGTTTGGGGCAAGGGGGACAAAATTTTAGGGCTTTTTTGTTCTTGAATCTACTTTTCTTCTATTTGAACAGTTCTTTACAAGAACTCTTTATTTGAAAAAGCATATGAAGCTTCTCCAAGCTCATCACACGCTCTACATTATCTCGAAAATTTTTTTAATCTAAGCACAAGAAATATATTTTTTGTTTTAAGAAATAAATATTCTACTCTGCAATTTTTTTAAAAAAACAAGAAATATATTTCTTGTTTTTAAGAAATAAATTTCTTAAACTATGTTTAATAGATTTACGATTTTGCTGTGAGTTCTGATGAGTTGTTAGCGAGTTTGAAAGATTTTTAAAGTTTTGGAATTCAATGCATCCAAAAAGTCTGAGGGAGTTTCATCTAGAGGCATTTTCTCAAACTATGACCTAGAATATCAAAAATTACCCAGTAGTTTGGTGAAATATATAACTCAAGACCTAGTAGCTGGTCTCTATCAAAAAAACTGCTTTCAAAAGGATTTCAGTTTTGATTCTATCCGTTTTTACATCTTTTTGGACCTCCGTTTGTTTTTAAATACAGAACTTTTTACCATTTTTATATTGTGATCTTGGTCAAAAGATGCTAACACCAGCACCAAACACATCTATGGTTTTACTATAACTTAAATTTCAGTATAAATAGACATCCAACACAAAAAATAAAAAAATTTCATTATGAAAACAATTTCATGGGAATATATTATAACACCGCGTATTAAAATTTGTTCATGATGGTCAAAATGGGTGGGCTATTGTTTATACCAGTTTATATCATAGTTATTCAGAGTTAGATGATGGACAGAGTTTAATAGTTGCAAGGCCTTTGTTAATTTTATCATAATTCCCTTTTATGTTTAAAAGTTTTGTTTAATATGGCTGTAGATTTTCAGTAGATTCGATATATAGAGCAAAGTAAAGTAGCTAGTGATGACTTTTGTCTATGGGTGCTAAATGTTTTAAAAAGTAAATCGTGTTTTCATTGAATGTAAATAAGAGGTCAATTGTAGATGGCTTGTCTAATATGTGTTGCTTTTGAAATATGTTGGGTTAAAAAAGAATCACAAATAGTTTCAATAAATTTAATTGATTTAGAGTTATTTGAAAAAGATTGTTTTGGATTTTGCCAACTGATATGTGATTAGTTAAGATCTCCTACAATAAGAATGTTTGGGTATTATTCAGAAATTTGCTGATTTATGCAGTCGTTGTTTTCATCATCAATATTTGGTCATCTGTAGTAACAGCTTAGTAACAACTTGGAAGTTTATGTTATAATTTTACAACTGAGTGATTCAGAAGGGAATATGTCAAGATTTATTAAGGATGACTTTAGAGTGTTTTAGCAGCCACATAGTTCCTTCATTAGGAGATAACAGGAAGAGTTGCATAGCCACTATCAAGGAGACACAAGCAAAAATCTATTAGTAGAGTTAAGAAGAAGATCCAACATTCACCATTCTAGGTAAGAAACAATGTAACACAGGTTTACATCTACCCCAGCCTAATGAAGAAATGTTTCACTCGTTTCAAGTTCTCTTTCAAGAAGTAGATTTTCACAACTATTAAAAAACATTTATTTGAACAACATTAATTCTATTCCTACTAACAGTACAAATAAACTATATATAATAAGGCTTTTATTGACAAATTAAATGAAAATTTCATAAAACTTTAAAACCAAAATGAGCAGAGACGTATTTCAGTTTGACCCTTTTTTAGATGATCAAACCTATCTTTTAATATATATATGCAGTTCATAGGTATAATAGCAGATAATTTTATACAAAAAATGGTGACAGAAAATGTAAATATTTTTCCATCAGCATTGTTTCTACTTCTGATATTAGCCGTGTAGATTAACTATGTTCATTTTTCGGTATGTTCAAAAGAATGGCTGTCCGGTAGAAAGATTCTTAGGGTTTTTACACAACTCTGGTCATAAATCTCAAGAATTAGCAGATGCTATATTTTTAGATTTAGAATTGCATAGATTCGATATTAACAATGGTCGTGGTTACAGTTACAACGCGTCTAACATATCTGGCAGGTACACTGGAATTCAAACTCGCACTAAAGAGGTTAATCCTTTAGCTACATTTGTACCATGCTTGGCACACTCTTTAAATCTTGATGTTGGATGGGCTGTGGACTGTTGTAGAAATGCTTCAGAATTTTTTATTTTGCTTCAAAATATCTATAACTTTTTTAGTGCTTCTACATATAGATGAGAAATGCTTCAGAACAATTTAATACAAATTGAAAATGTATCACTTAAAATCTATAAGATACCAGGTGGTCAGCCAGATTTGATGCAAAAATTAGTTTAAACAAAAATTGAAATTAAACAATTAATACACTGTTTTTTATCAAAGATAATAAATCACAAAAGTCAATCACAAGATCAGAAGATTGAAACGATTTTAATGGCCACATTAAAAGGTGATATACTAGAAAGATTCAACAAAAATAGTAAACAATTGCAGCCAGTTAAGATTGATTTAGAAACAGTTGTAAGTTTATACAAACTGTTAATTCGATATGTATTAGATCTAAGTAGTATGTTTGATATCTATGAAGAGAGAGAGCAATTAATAAATCGGGACACAAAATATATTGAAAAATACGCAAAAGAAAAAGAAAATTAACTGCAGATGAATAAAGAG